GGCCTAGACCCTTCTGATGAAGGGTCTAGGCCCGAAACGTCAGCCTCTCTGCTGCTATGATGCTGCTTGGCCTGCTGTGTTCATCCAGCCCTGCACCTTGTTGTCTCGGATTCTCCAGCATCTGCAGTTCCTACTATCTCTCATCCTGCTAGTTAACTGTTTCACAGGGCAACAAATCTACTGAGCCGTTCAGGGTAACAGAAACATGTAGATTAACTAACAGGATCAAAACATTAGAAAAAAAAAGCAGTAGTATGGTAAAACCTCTCCCTGAATTTATCAAAGTATCACATTGAACAAGGTTGGGCGGGTTTCTGATAGAGAATACTGATGGCACAAAAAGCCCCACTAAAATTACAAAGCATGAAGATGAACAAAATTGAAAAAGCACAGTCAAACATATGGAACACAGGGATTTAATGGAGTAACAGCCAGATGAAGCTCCTTGTTCATTCAAAGAGTCTGAGAAAAAGCCACTAGTGTGGAAGATCAAAAACATGTCTTAAAACATGAAAGCAACTGAAACATTGAACTAAAGATAAACAACGTAAGGTTGTCTTTAAAAACAAATTTATGCTCATTCTATACTTCCCAAGTGTAAATCCATTTTTTTTGTACAATTCAAAAATATCTATTCAGTGTACCTTATTCTGGAAGCCAGAGGGACCTACAAACGATATGCCCTTCAATCTACCTGACAGCCCAGTGGAGGTGACAGCTTTTTGTTAATCAGTTAGAGCATGACTACTGTGAGCTGCCTTCTGAGCCTCCTCGAAGGGAATGTCATTGGAAATTTAAAAACAAAACTTTAAGAATTCATGATTAAGAGATGTCTAAAATGCTGAAATTAGTAAAATCTGATTTCTGCCAGAGGGGCACAGACTGTGAGAGTTTCTCTCACTCATCTTTTAACTCCACAACCAATATATTTCACTTCCATTCATGTGGAATTCCTGGTTACATAAATGCTGCACTAACTGAATGGCTGATTTTGGCATGGCATATTGCAGAAAAAGCTTTGAACAAAAACTGGAAGAGCTGCCGCAGAGTGCCAGTGGCGGGCTATTTATACAACTTGCCAATCCAGACAATAATTCTCCATTTGTACTGTATCTTAACAGAGGATGCATTCCAAACGCAAGAATGCAAGCAAGCACAACAGAGGTAGGATGTGCTTTATAAATACTTCTCGGTAAGTAGAAGTGGAGTGCTCCTGAGGTGGAGCTGACCTCCAATTCTGAAAGAACTTAAGAGGTTTGTGACTCTCCCGAGAGCAAAGGCTAGGAGTTAGTCATGTGCCTTGCATCTTTTTCAGAGGATGGGTGCAGGGAGATCAATTTCATTCTCGGGTATAAAACCATACAAACTTGGGCAGAGACAAGAATTCAGTTTGGGTTGGGAAATGTAAAATGCAGTTTGGCAGATTGACAGGTCTGAGAGGGGAGAGGACAGCATCGTGCCATCTAGTCTCCTCAAATCAAGACTGGACAGATATGGAGTTTGTCAGGTGATCACCATAAACTGGACCATAGCTCATGTACTTCCAAGCAAGCACTTCAGCATGATAACTGCCTCTCATTTTGTGGTTATGTTAACAAGAAAATGGGAGGAATAGCCTTGAATATGAAAAGTTGATGGGTGGTGAGAACAGTACCTGAGACCAACAGACACAGCCTTAAGACTGAAACCACCATAACTTGTAAATGTGCAGAAGCAAATTGGAACAGTGCTACTTCAGCTTTACAATTAAATTCAAGCAACATTTCACTATTAAGTGTTGCATGTAGATGACTGCATGTGAAACGCTGGAACAGAAGTAAGCCGTTTAGCACTTCAGGCTGGTCCTATCATTCAGTTACATATCGCTGATGTGTATCTTAACTCTTTCTGCCACTAACTTGGTTCCGTATTCTTCCATACCCCAGCCTGAGTAAATCTATCAATTTCAGTTTTGAACTTGTCAATTGATTCAGCCTCAAAAATCTTCTGTAGGATACAGCTTCAGATTTCCACTCTCCTTTGTGTAAGGAATTGATTCCTGACATCATGCTTACAACGTATGGGTTTAGTTTTAAGATGTGATCCCTGGTTCCGGGCTCCATTTCCTCCTTCTCTACTGTGCAAAAAAGGAGGTAATTTCAGTCTAGCTGCCCTGTTAAATCTTTTAATTATGTTAAACACATCAAATAAACTACCCCTTAACATTCTATGTTAAAGGGAATACAAAGCTTAGTTCATGCAAACTATTCTCATTACTTAACACTTTTAGATCCGATATCAATTAAAAATGATACAATTATTCCACACTGATGGTTGTTCACTTGGTGAAGAATGTCTGACTTGTTAGGGAGAAGCAGTGGAGGTATATTAAAATAAAAATGGAAAAGATTCAAAATATTTAAATTTAAAGAGATCAAACAGAGTTCACTCATCTCATAACTACACTGAAGTTTAGTACAATTGACAAATGCCGGAAGAAAGCAAGTGCAAATATAAAGGCTGAACTCTGCAAAAGGGAAGGATTCACAATTTTCGGAATACCTAACAAAACGACCTTGGCTGGTGATAATAGGGCAATGTTAGAATGACACCGGACTGGTTCCAATTGAAACTGGTGTGCTATCATGGCTTCTGTTTCTTTATTAACAAGTGACCAACTTCTTTTAAAGCTCAGCAGATCTGGCAGCATCTGTGAAGGAGAAAACAGAGTTAACGTTTTGGGTCCGGTGACCCTTCCTCAGAACTGATGGCGGCTGGGAAAACATCAGTTTATATGCAGAAAGTAGGGAGGTAGGTGGGTAGGGAGTAAACGATAGGATAGAGCACAAAGAGAGAGAAAGACAGTTGGACAGACAAAGGAGTTGCTAACGATCAGGCTGGGAGGGTGAATAGTTGTTAATGGGGACTGTTAGTGACTAACAACAGGGGGTGTGTAATGGCAGGCTACGTGGTAACAAGGCCTGGTGTGTGGGGTAGGGGGCTGGGACATGGGAGAATTTAGGCCCTAAAATTATTGAACTCAATATTGAGTCCGGAGGGCTGCAGGGTCCCCAAGCGGAAAATGTGGTGTTGTTCCTCCAGCTTGCGTTGGGCTTCACTGGAACACTGCAGCAAGCCAGAAACAGAGATGTTGGCCAGGGAGCAAGGTGGCGCATTGAAGTGGCAGGCAACAGGTGATTCAGGGTCTTTTTTGCGAGCAGAACGTAGATGTTCTGCGAAGCGGTCGCCAAGTCTACGCTTCTTTTCCCCATGTGGAGGAGACCACATTGTGAGCAGCGAATGCAGTAGACTAGATTCTGGGAAGTGCAGGTGAAGTGTTGCTTCACCTGGAAGGTATGTTTGGGCCCTTGGATACTGGGGAGGGAGGAGGTAAATGGGCAGGTGTTGCACCTTTGCCGGTTACAGGGGAAGGTGCCGTAGGGCTGTGGGGAGGTGTTGGGGGTGAAGGAAGTGTGGACCAGGGTGTCCTGGAGGGAACGGTCCCTGCGGAAGGCAGACAAGGGAGGGGAGGGGAATATGTGTCTGGTGGTGGCAATTTGCTGGAGGTGGCGGAAATGGCATCTGTTGATCTTCTGGATGTGGATGCTGGTGGGATGGTAGGTAAGGATAAGGGGAGCCCTATCGCTGTTGCGGGAGGGAAGACAAGGGGTGAGGGTGGAAGTGCGGGGGATGGGTCGGACCTGGTTGAGGGCCCTGCTGACAACGGAGCTGGGGAGTCCTCGGTTGAGGAAGAAGGTGGACATTTCGGAGGCTCCGTTGTCAAAGTTGGCCTCATCTGAACATATGCGACGGAGATTTTAAGGCCTAAACTCTCCCATGTCCCAGCCCCTGCTCCACACACCAGGCCTTGTTACCACATAGCCTGCCTTTACACACCCCCGTTGTCACCGGGCCCGAAACGTTAACTCTGTTTTCTCCTTCACAGATGCTGCCAGACCTGCTGAGATTTTCCAGCAACTTTGTTTTTGTTCCTGATTTACAGCATCTGCAGTTCTTTTGGTTTTTAACTTCTTTCAAAGGTTGGGTTAAGTAACAAGACAGTTAACAAATAAGTTACTTTAGATTTTCCATGAGTGAAGGAGATGTAGCCCAATATGAGTTATATCAGAAATTGCGGTATGAGTGTTATGACATCAGGGGTGTGTTAGTGTGAGGATGTTCAATGTGGTTTCAGTATTTGGAACAAGTCATAAACACTATACAAAAGTGTTATGTAAAAATCACTTTGAAAATTTATTATTGCTATGCATTTTCGCATTTGCCATAATGAACTTGAGTTCACCAAATAAACAGCCAATATTCGGAAAACAATCTATGGTCTGCAGGAGTTTGAATTTTGCGAATGCTACAGAGCAAATTATGTCAACACACAGAGTGACAGATTGTTGATCATTGGCAAAGCTTAATAGTTACTTCTGGGAAAACTAGTGCATCATGATAAACACTGAATATTTTATAGCTGTATTCCCTCTATTCCTCTTACTGTCATCTCATCCAACAATGTCTTTTTGTGCAGATTTCCCTTGCATTATGGTCTGGCCACGAGGACATGCAGATGATCTGTCTTTTTAAGGTAGTGCACTAAAACCTATCGTTAGAAAATGTAGAGGAGTTGAAGATAGGGCTGGGGGAGGAGTGAGACAGGATGCTTGGCTCCATGGAAGCAAGCCTGACCTCCAATTTCCACCCTGCCATCACATTCACCTGGTCTATCTCGGACTCCTCCCTTCCCTTCCTTGACATTTCTGTTTCCATTTCTGGGGATAGACTGGCCATTAATATCCACTACAAACCCACTGAATCCTACAGCTATCTTGACACCCTTCCTCACACCCTGCTTCCTGTAAAGACTCCATCCCATTCTCTCAGTTCCTCCGTCTCAGTCGCATATGTTCAGATGAGGCCAATTTTGACAAGGGAGCCTCCGAAATGTCCACCTTCTTCCTCAACCGAGGATTCCCCACCTCTGTTGTCAACAGGGCCCTCAATCAGGTCCGACTCATCTCCCGCACTTTCGCCGTCACCCCTGGTCTTCCCTCCTGCAACAGCGATAGGGTTCCCCTTATCCTCCCTACCATCCCACCAGCATCCACATCCAGAAGATCATCAGACGCCATTTCTACCACTTCTAGCGAGATGCCACCACCAGACACATATTCTCCTCCCCTCCCTTGTCTGTCTTCCGCAGGGACCATTCCCTCCAGGACACCCTGGTCCATACTTCCTTCACCCCCAACACCTCCCCACAGCCCTACGGCACCTTCCCCTGTAATGGCGAAGGTGCAACACCTGCCCATTTACCTCCTCCCTCCCCAGTATCCAAGGGGCCAAATATACCTTCCAGGTAAAGCAACACTTCACCTGCACTTCCCAGAATCTGGTCTACTACATTCGCTGCTCACAACGTGGTCTCCTCTACATGGGGAAACGAAGCGTAGACTTGGCGACCGCTTCGCAGAACATCTACGTTCTGCTCGCAAGAAAGACCCTGAACTACCTGTTGCCTGCCACTTTAATGCACCACCCTGCTCCCTGGCCAACATCTCTGTTTCTGGCTTGCTGCAGTGTTCCAGCGAAGCTCAGCGCAAGCTGGAAGAACAACACCTCATTTTCTGCTGGGGACCCTACAGCCCTCCGGACTTAACACTGAGTTCAATAACTTTAGGGCCTAAACTCTCTCATGTCCCAGCTACCACATAGCCTGCCTTTACACACCCCCTGTTGTTAGTCATTAACAGTCCCCATTAACAACTATTCACCCTCCCAGCCTGATCGTTAGCAACTCCTTTGTCTGTCCAACTGTCTTTCTCTCTCTTTAGGCTCTATCCTATCGTTTACTCCCTACCCCACCCACCTCCCAATTTTTGCACATAAACTGACGTTTTCCCAGTCACTATCAGTTCTGAGGAAGGGTCACCGGACCCGAAATGTTAACTCTGTTTTTTCCTTCACAGATGCTGCCAGACCTGCTGAGCTTTTCCAGCAACTTTGTTTTTGTTCCTGACCTTCTTCATATGTCCAATGAGTCTAGATGGCATCATAGAATGCTAGGCACTTGCATAAACTAACAGTCTAGGGACTTATAGTCACATATGCTCAAATACGTCAATGCAACAAAGCTTCAACATTAGCTCAAATGCTTTCTCATTTCTGATTTCAACATTTATTTGATTCAGGTCTTTCCTTTCATAACCAAATGGAGGGAAGTGTACTCCAAGGTTTCTTCCCACTAGTTTAACACACAAACTAGATAGGGTCTCATGGAGCTTCCAGCTCCTTCTCCTCAAACTTCTCAATTTAAATCCTAGTACCTGAATCACAGGAGGTTATTATGCAAATACAGCAAGTAATCAGGAAAGCTAACAGAATGCCATGTTTTACTATGAGGAGAACTGAATACAAAAATAGGGAGGTTACGCTTCAGTTATACAGGGCATTGGTGAGACTGCCTCAAAAATACCATATAGAGTCCTAGTCACAACTTATGGAAGGATGTAATGCATTGGAAGCAGTTCAGAGAAGGTTTACTTGACTAACACCTGGAAAGAGTACATTGCCTTATGAGGAAAGGCTTGACAGGCTTAGCCTGTATCCTTTAGAGTTTAGAACAGTCGGAGGTGACTTAATTGAAACATACAAGATCCTGAGGGGACTTGACATGGTGGATATTGAAAGCCTGTTTTTTCTTATGGGCAGAATCTAGAAACTAAGTCAAAGTTTTAAAATAAGGGGCTGCCCATTTAAACATATATCAGGAAACATTTATTTCCCTCAGAGGTTTGAGTGTCTTTAGAAATCTCTTCTTCAAAAGGCAGTGGATTCAGAACCTTTAAGTATTTTTAATGCAGAGGGAAACAGATTCTGGATTACCAAAGGGGACTGAAGAATAATGGCGATGTGCAGGAATGTGGAGTTGAGGTTAAATCAGATCAGCCACGAATGATGGAGCAGGGCCGAATGGTCTACCCTTGTTCGTATCTAGAACATGTGATTTTAATTTGTAAAACTTTCTTTTTAAAACTGTGTTAAAGTCCAGTGACCTAATAATGATGATAATATACCCAGTGAAGTCAAAACAATGAATGAGTGCTGCACTTTCTGTTCAATGACTCACAGTTTGCCCTTTCGTGCACCCTCATAACTACAGAGTCACTTGTGAAACAAATGACTGTGGACTGAAAAGTACCAGTACTTAATGTATTGAACTTGTTTTGGCAGAGCAAATGGGGCTTAATACCTAAACAGGCAAGAATCTAAAACTAAGCAGCCAGAGGGGCTAATCTCTGTAATCATCTATAGACTGGGCTGATGTTCTGACCACTTATAATGAAAACAGGAAACAGGAGTGCAAGTGCTAAGGGAATGTTCCATTTTATGCTACTTCTTTCTAGCCGCAAACATGAAATAATAAGAAGCTTGTTTCTGTGTCAATACAACAATTTGAAAATGTGGTTAAAAGAAGAGTGATCTTTTCTGGTTAAATTTCAAATAACATTCCAGAGACAAGCAGTGCACCATCTCTCTTGGTCTTGCTAGGGCAAGAGGAATAGGAAAGAAAAAATGGCTCCTCAACAGACCAAACCAGCCAGCTAGTTTAAAACACACCATTATCTAATGTTTTTGAAATGCCCACAGCCACTGCTTTATTTATAAAGCAGTAGTAGTAGTCATTAGGAGATCAT